GCCACCTGCTGGGATTATCAGGCAAGTTCCACCTGCCCCTAGCTGAGAAGAAGAGGGCAATTTCCTCCCGGTTTAGATTTTAGACCTTAGGCTTTTGAGTCACCAAAGAGGGTATGACCTCTTGACCAATGTCATCTTTTATAAAAATCAATACCAGAGACAGGCTATCAGTTTATCTGGTAAACTGGAAACTCCATATCGACGGGAACTGCCAATCATCTGAGTGCTCAAATGTGTGTTATGGGATGAGGGGTCTGGGGATGGTAATAAGCACGCAGACCATCAACACACAGTATGTCCACAGGAACAGTGCAGAAGATCATGCAGAGAACAAAGGTTAATGTTCTGATTTCCTACACTTTTGCTGGGTGCTGCTCTTGAATCTATGAGAAGAGTAAGGGTCAGGTGAAGGCATTCTAGACAGGGCTCAGCTGGGACAAAGGACTGGCTGTCTAGGTTCCATCTCTACTTAAGACCCACACAGTAAATCCCTCACTTATTTGTTATGTGTTGGGCTCTGTGGTAGTTACTGTGAGGGCTAGGTTAATGAGACATGTCCTCCTTTACCAAGAAGCATACACATCTCCACATCCAAACCCCAGGGAGTTTTGTTTTCTTCTCGTCCCCCATACTCGAAGCTATATTGCACTGAAGTCACCTGTCAGCTATGTCTACTATTTTCTCCCTACCTACCCCACAGCTAAGGACAGGCTGTGTGAATCTGAGCAACAGTAGACAGTAGGAAGAATATGGCAACTTCCGGTGTACTCTCTTCTTCCTTTGGGTACAGCCTCATAACATAATGTTGAGCAGACTTTGTCCATGACAGCAGGGCAATATGTGGTGACTGGTAAAACAGATGACAGAAAGAATCTACATCTGTGAACTCAGGAACAAAATCATCGTATCAAAGCAGGCCTTTCTACCAGTTCAGACTTTTACATTATACACACCTAAATGTTATGATCCACGGAAAGTGGGCTTTTGTTAATGCAGCCAAATCAACACCAAACTAATATAGTAAGCCTTACTCCTTGGAGCTTAGCAGCTTCTGAAATCCTAACCAGAAGCTGAGCCCTAGGGACACCACTCTGCACATTCCTCGAAATTCCCACCAGGTCCTCTGAGGACTGGAGCCATGCCTACATTCATTTATCACTATGTGGGGCGGTGTCATACTTCGCTGTGTAGTGTGTGCAACATTGACACCAATGGTCAAGAAAGATGTGTTCTTCAGCCAGCAGGCCTTAAGGTATATTGCAAATCTATGCTGTCTAAATAGAGTGCTTACCTCGCCTTATAGATGAGCTCGGAAAGCTCACTGAGGCCTTTCCTGAGCATTCGGGGCCAGCAAAATCTCTCCTTGGAGATTAGGGTCCTCTAGCACTAACCAGGGACTACTGCTAGCAAACTGATTTTCCTTTCCAAAACTGTAAATAGGGTAACTAAACCATAGAAATCTGAGCACCTAGCAAGGTAAGAAGTTGTACAAAGGTCAACAGTGTGCAGTTAAGATTGTTGAGGAGCTAGCTGGGTGTTGGTGGTACATGCCTTTATTCCAAGCACTCAGGGAGGCAGAGGTAGGAGGATCTCTGTGAGCTCAAGGCCAGCCTGGTCTACAGAGCAAGTTCCAGGACAGCTCCAAAACAATACAGAGAAACCTTGTCTCGAAAAGGCAAAACAAACAAACAAACAAACACTGTTCAGGAGCTATCAGTATTTGGAAATCAGCAGGAAAAAGCTCAGAATAGTTCTTGTGTCTAATAACTTTAAAGTGCCAAGTGGCCAATAGCTTCTAGGTTAGAATTTAAAAAGAATGGTAACTAACAAAAGTTTCTCACTCATGGTAACATCTCAGCTTTTAAAGCATATCAGACTTGGGAATTTGTATACATCAGGCTGGAGAGTTTGACTATGGATGCCTGGACAGGATATGCATGCAAAGAGTGACTGACTCTGATGCCAATTTATCTTCACCAGAAAAGAGAGGATGGCAGGATCCACAGGGACAGTAAGGCAGGGCTGACACGGGAGAGCTAGAAGCCAACACATTCAAGGCAAACTTGGGTCACCTGTAGAGAATTCCAAGTTTTCTCCCCTACCCAATCAGCCGCATTAGGGAGATGGCTGAGGTAGTGATGTGCTTGTTCCAGCATAAGGACCTGAGTTTACACTCCTAGAACACATGTAAAATAAAGCTGGGTATGGTAGCATACGCTTATGATCCCAGCGCTAACTCACTGACCCATCAGCCTAACCTGTAGCAAGTCAAGGCTGATTCAAATGTCACCTGAAAGTGAATCAGCACTCATAAAACCAAGCGGGCAACTCTTCAGGAATATCTCACCCCTGCATGCACTTGTCCTCTAACATAGCCTCATCCACCAGCATGGATGGACACACGAAGAGGAATGGGGTTGGCTCAATACTCTGATCTCCCTTCATCTTTTGGGGTCTGGGTGGTCTGGAGCAGATGGGCTCCTGGTGCCAGGAAAATAGGTCTCACTGCCAGAGCCCAGAGGCAGGGGTGACCTCCTCTGCTGATGCTGGCAGGGAAAGGCAGGCTGGAATGAGACACACCTACACATCTACACTACAATCTCAGGACAGATACACTGGACAGAAATGGCTGCTCCCCTTGTGCTGTGTAGGTGGAATGTGTTGAGTAGCCAGGAGCAGCGTCACACCCAGAGATTGATGGTTGCCCTTTGATGGACAGAGTCTGCACCTTAGGGAAGGGGCTTATATAGAGCTACTCATTGTTCAGTGATACCAGGAAACCATACAGTCACCCAGTGAAGAAACTCCTTCATGATCAATGGAGAGGTGATTCTTCTGAAATCATGTTGACCCAATAAAACATATGGTACCTGTAAACAGTCTGTCCTTGCTAAAAACAAACAAACAAACAAAAACCAACCAAACAAACAAAAAACAAAACCCTAAGTCCCTTAAAAAAGCAAACTATCCAAGGGCACAAAACATTTTCTGACTTTGCATGACCTCACGGCACAAGTGTCATTGCATTTAAACAGAATATCCAACTTCTGTGACACAGGCAGAGCTCCTCACATATGTTCTTTATGAATGACAACAGGTAAAGGTAATGGGACACTGAGAATATGTGATGCCAGGGATCACAGGAGGTGGAAGGGAAATTGGGCGATCTCCTATCAATGCTGAACCCCACATGAGAGCAGGCCAGGAGCTGTCAACCTTAAGTAGTGGGCTTGGGTCTGAGCTTTATGACTGGACATGGCATGCAAAATATGAAACAGTCCCTCTCTGCAGACAGGATCCACAGGCTCTCAATGGCTATGACCCCAAAGACTTCATGTCTACCATTTTAAGAAGAGGCTATTGGTCTTACTTTATATCTCTGTAGCCATAGCTTAGCAGAGCTCTCTGACCTCATTTGTTAGAGAAGTTCCTTTGTGCTGCAGAGCAGAAATTCACAAGTGGCTAAAGTACAGAATGTTTGTGGAATAGGGCATCTATATCCTACTTCCCCGCTTCAAGGCTCAGGGACAATTGCAGAAGAGTGAACAGAGAGACTGTAAGAGCCAGAGGTCAGAGAGGATCAGACTGAAAGTGTCTTCTGGAAATGACAGAACCCCGTACTGATGCACACATAGCATCTGTGGTTGCCTGGACAAGACCTGCACAAGATAGAGCCAGTCTGAATGCCAAAATAGAGGGCGGGGAGCACAATCTCCCACTCCTAGCTGAAGAGATGCTGACAATTTATGACTTCTGGGAGAGGAACAGTCCATTTTAAGGGTGTGGCCCCTATTAAGTCAATCACCCACCAGGAGATGGCCGGATACCCACCAGTGTATAGAAAGCACAGACTGGACTTAACGGGTTATCTTTAAAAACAAAAACAAAAAAAAAGTGGACACAGGGGAGGAAGAGGTAGAGCAGGGTCTGGAAGGAGTTAGTAGGAAAGGGGTGGGGGGAGAGAATTTGATCAAGATACAATGTCCAAAAATTCTCAAAGAATTAGTAAAAATAGCTGAGATCAGGTCACTCAGTATGAGAAACCCAGAGGGTTGTCTTGACTTCCCAGGATCTCCCTGGGTGCCCAGAGGTTAGAGTTCTTACCTTAAGATTCAGATTTTCCAAACCAAGCCAGTTAAAGAACTTCATGTCCCTTGCAGAATCCTGTGTCTCAGAGAGAAAGGGAGAGATCTGGCCCCATATCCTAATGAGGCCATTTGCCAGCAGGTGACTGAACCTCCATGCGCAGGTTGTCTCATCCATAAAGGGAGGAAAACAGCGTTCATCCTCATACACTCCCGTTGGGCAGACAGGGCAAAGGATGCCCAGAGCTCCCACTGCTGCTCCTATTCATAGTTGGAGCTAATGTTATTAAGCCTATTAGTTGTCCCAGTGCTAAGTGCTTTCAGGTGTGTTATATTATTTGATCTTCACAGTCTTATAAGGAAGATACAATTACGTGTCTACTTAATTAAAAAAGGAAAGCAGGGGTGGGTGGGAATTGATTCTTAGAGGTCAAGCACATCACCATCAAGAAACAGGGCTGTCCTCCCAGGGTAGCTGCCTGACTATCAAACCTATATTCTTTACCAATGGTGCCACCTCCTCCCTGCAACACCCACACCAACACACACACACACATCCACACACACACCCACCCACACACACACACACACAAAATCTGGCTGCATGTGCTACTGCAGAGCTCACTGAAAAGAAAATGTTTCCAGAATAGGGTCCTATGGCATGTGAGGCACATGAGAGGGCTGTTCTCACATAGCTAAACCCTCAGAGTGCCTCTCCTGACCGTTAACCCTGTTTTTTCTGTTTTGTTTTACGTGGTGGACACCAGAAGGACAGTGGTGAGATTCATTAACCTTGCATTACCTCATACCATGCGCTTCTGAGCTTAACTTGGAATTAGGTTCAAGTCGTTTACCCAAATGAGAGGAAGCAAGGGCTGAAGTCATCAACTCAAGTACAAAGGATCACAACCAGAATCATAAAACTGTTATTTATTTCCAATCCATTCCACTTTCTCGCCCAGGAGTAGTAGAAAATAGCCTGTTTCAGTTTTCAGAACTGGAGCTATGACCCAGCAGGACTGCAAGCTCTGGAAGGCTCTGAGGGATCCTGCTGTGGTGCTGCATTGTTCTCTGTCTGCTGGCTTCTCTTGACGGGCAGGCGGGCAGGCGAGCAGGCACTGCTGGCCTGGCCCCTAATTCCCTCCATGGATTCCGGGGCTGGCAATGAACTCATCTGAGCTAATGCTGGAGGTAAACTCATTAGGTAAGCTCCACAGTTTTCCACAGCAACGCACAGGCAGCTGATATAAAGAGCATGTTTCCTCACACAGCCACAGCAGTAATTCAGTTTCACACAGGGCCTTCTCAGAGGCGGAGCTTCTGCTCATCATCAGGAAAAGAAACACAATGAGGACAGGATGAGAAAGAATGACAATGGGCTTGGCTGCTTCCTTCCCTCCCCTGTGCCTTCCGAATAGCAGCAGCCCTTCCATCCTGCCATGTGCCCACTGTCAGCCCATGTGCTGAGAACTGCACCTGCACAGCTCAGTAGCTGGTTGGCCTATTTATTGGCTACAGCAGAAAGCTGGTCCCGGATTCGGCCCAGGCCATCTAACATGGTATCCAGTGTTTCTTTGCTCAGTTCCATGGTCACAGCTGAGACAGAGGGTTTGTCTCCACACAGACTAGGATCTTCTTGGATCTGCAAGAAAAACACAGCCCAGAAAGTCAAAGCTGCCTGTCTTTGCTTCTCCCTGGACGTGAGCCCTACTCAGTTCTACCGTTTCCTGAGAGACAGTTGCTACTGAGTGTGGCAGAGAATCCTAGCCTTTTCTCCTTTAGCAGCTGACAATGAAGGCAATGCCCAAAAGGCCTGGGTCACTTCCCTTCTACACATTCTGGGTGAGTGAAGACTCACTTACCTCTGTGAAAATGGGTCTTAGCACTCAAATGAGAAAACACTACCTGTCTACATGCACTAAAACAAGCAGGCTGTACAACATGCAGAAAACAACTGGACACAGAAAAGACAAGTTCCAGATATACTTATTTGATCTTAAAAGAGGAAATGAAATGTTACTATATTTTGAAAGGGACCTGTTAAATAAGAGTCACTTCCTCATCTTCTATAAATGTTGAACTTCTGGATGTCTGGTGAAGTGACAATAGCATTGACTCTTTGAATTTTAACTACATAAACACTACAGAATGGGTATGCACCTTTTACAGGGTTCTGGCAAAGAACAATAACATGGAGATAATGAGACAGGGCATGCCAATAGGAAAATGAAGTACTGACTAACCAACTGCCAACAGAAGTTTGGGCTGTATTGCAACAGTGCCGATCCAATTCTGCTTGACAGAGAGCTAGTGAGAGGCTACCTGACAGATGCAGAGGGCTAGCTGACATCTGTGTGCATAAGCCTGCGGTTAAAGCCGGACCCCTTCTGACATCAGCACATCATTGATCAGATGCAATGCCCTGCACCTGTCACTCTGACACCTCTGCTTTTAGTGTGTATCTCATTATGACCATGCTGTCAATATGGTCCTGCAGTTGTAATCCATCAACAAGTACCACATTGTGTGTGTGAGTGGGGTAGGTGGGGGGGTACTCTCACTGCTGGTGTCTTAGATGGCTGTGGCTGAGGTAGAGCCAACTCACTGTCATCCCCTCTTTGCTTCTGAAGAGCTTAACAGTGGGCATACCTTCATCTGGAGCAGGCAGGTGGGGACAGCCATGCGGCTGATACTGTCTGAGGAGGTTTTGATATCCACTCTCCAGTCCAGGTCCACCAGGCGTGGCAGAGAGACTGTGGAGGGGACAGCTTTGGTCAGAGGTTATACTACCTGTTTCTCCTAAGCTCTTATTCAGTGCCATGTGGCTGTAAGGAATGTATATACATACAATATGTTTAATCTACACAAGTCTAAGAAAGATAGAGAAGGCCTGAGACCTACATGTCGTGTGCTTTACACAATGCTTGGTGCCACCTGTCCTTTGCACTGACTCCCAGTGGGTTCATCTCCTAACATTCACACCCCAGATGTTCAGAGAGAATGACAAGTGACACGAGGCAGAGATGCAGCCATAGCCTGAGTTCTAGAGAAAGGACAACTTCAGCAACCGTGCTAGAGACTGTTCTATAGATGAAATGGCCTTGGTTTGAATGCAAGCCCCACACTTGCCTAACCCCCTCATCTAGAAGCCTGGACTGCAAGGTGACTGGGAGGGCTGGATGAGTCAGCACAGACATAGCTCCAGCTGTGTGGTTGACTTAATGAAAGTGCGAGGGTAGTCACTCAGCAGCCCGCTCTTACACAACCTTTAGAAGTAATTTCAATGACTAGCCTTTCCTTTTTTGCAAGTCACAAATACATATACGATTCTCATTGTTTATATTCATTGTGCACGGTTCTGTGCTACATACAAATGCATACATATTGATCACATCTCACCCTATACCCACTTCCTTCTTTCTCTTCCTCTCCTTCCTAATAATCTGCTTACTCTCCTCTTTATTTTTGTCTTAACTGATACTTTACTTCACTTTCTGCTGAGGTATTTCTCCATTTTTATAGCAACCTGCTTCTATCATCTTCATCTTCAACATCATCACCACCATCATCATCATCATCACCATTGAAGAGTAAAATTTAAAAGGCACAATGCAGTGTGCGATTTGGAGCTAGAATAGTTCTCTTTGGTCTGTGGTTCCTGGTTGGGGGACTCAGAGCTGACACTGAGGAGCAGGGGCAGGGGAAGGCAGGGGGCTCTGTACTCACTCTGGTTTGCTTGAGCTTCTGTTCTCCAAGTAGATCTGTTTAAAATGGAAAGATGAGGAAGAAACAATGGGAAAGCAATGACAGTGAGCTTTCTGATAACGAGGGACCCCAGCTTGTGGCCTCTCACCAAGAAAGAGCTTTAGAAACCCCTCCTATCAAAGGCAGTTTTTCATTGTGTTGCAAAGTCTAAGTGCCAATAATTTTCATAGCCCAGGAAAAACAAAACAAAACATAAAACCATAAAAAGGCAGAGGGAAAACACAGTCACAGCCCTAACAGAGGACCTGAGCCCAATCTGTGGGACCCATATGGTCCAAAGAGAGGACTAAGTCTTGCAAGCCATGTCACATGGCATGCCCAACAGCCCTCCAAATAAATACAAGTCCTTGGTAAACAGACATTTCTAATTACTGCTGCAGACCTCTTAGAGCTTCCAGCCCAACAACTTCTATTTAAGATTCACGTTAAAAAAGCATCTTCCCAGCTTAGCAAACAGAGACAATTCAAAAAAGAGGATGAAAAATGATCAATAAATATGGAAACAGACAATCAACATCTAGAATGGGGAACCATTTCCCATTCTTAGACCTGGGAAAAATCATCTCAGCATTTTGAGGCCAGGCCTTGTGGTGCATGCAGAGACAACACACTCCACATGCAAGGCTAACCTGGGCTACACAGGGAGACCCAGTCTCAAAAACCTAAGTTGGGGGGGGTTGGAACAACATTTTTTGGTAGCCAACTTGACAATATAAGCCAAAGCCCAGTATATCACCCTATGTGCATGGCCTTTAAACCAGTAAGTGAATAACTGAATATGTAACAAAGTTTCTACTACAAATTGTCTTTGGAAGAAACTGCCAAAACCTTAAATGGCTAACCTTAAAGAATCTTTAAAATTATACCAAATTCCTCCAAGTACTAGAATATACTTTACATTTCACTGTTAATAACTCTATGGGTAAACATTTATACAAGTATCATTAATATTAATGTTGCCTGTTAAAAATAAGAAGCTATAAAATGTCAAAGTCCTATTTGTTAAATGCAAATACAAAAGATTGGCTTCTCCATATATATACATATATATATATATATGTATACATATACATATACATACATACATACATACATACATACATATACACCAACGAGGTTCTCAGCTACAAGCTAGGAGTTGTAGCACATGCCTGTAATCTCAGCACTTGGGAGGTGGACATAGATGGAATGTAAGTTCAGTGTTATCCTTGGCCACAAAGGGAGTTCAAGGCCAGCCTAAGCTACATGAGACCCTTCCTCTAACAACAAATAAATGACTTTCCATCAAAAAAAATGGATGCAGCTAAACTCTGGGTGTGGGGTTACAAGCACCTTACTTTCTTCCATCATTTATCTGTATGTATTTTCAACCATAAATTTATATTATTCCTAGGCTTTGAGTATATAATTGCATATATAATATACTAATAGTAATAACGAGAATATGAATAGTATAAGGAATACGAAAGTTAGAAGGAACTCTCAAAAACACACACACTTACATGTACTCCAGGATGATTTTTGTCAGCAGGTTTTTGAGGTTTTGGTGGAAATCTTCCGGAAAGAGAGCTAGAACTGCTTCGGCAGAGGATAGGTCACGGAATGCCACCAGCCTGGTGAGGCGGTGCAGAGCCTGGAGCAGCTGTAGGACACAGAGAGCAACCCTGTAGCTGCAGGGCAGAGGCAGGAGGGTACAAAGGGGGCAGGGGTGGAGCTCTGTACACTCATCCATGGGCACACCACCACAGTCTCGTGAATGAGCTAACTCAAGTGTGGGTCTCCGTAGCAGATGCTGACACTCAAGCTGACTTTGCTAGTTCACTGGTCCTTTTAGAAGATAAGAGAAGCAGCTACCTGACCTAGGAAGCCATCAGCTTGTCAGAAACTTGTTAGTTGTGGGCAAAGGATAATATATCTTTTTTGTGCCTTCTGTGGAAGAATCTGACCTTCACTTAACTTTGTGATGCTGTTTCCTTGGTAACCTGAGAGAAGTGCAAAGCCATCTGAGTTACTAGGCAACCCTGCACTGGCCCTATGCCTCTGGACTAAGAGGAATGTGTAAACACTAGGCTATCCTTCCATGAGTGAGGCTGCACCCTCCTTGCAAGAATCTGAACCTGTGCTTGTTGAGTTGTTAGAGAAGATAACAGTTTCTCTGGAGTGGAAGGCATCTCATGTCCTTACCCTTAAATTGTCACCTAAAAGATCAAAGAAAAATAGTTCCTGGGCAATGGTGTGATTCCCTCTGTGAAAGAGAGGTCTTGGACCCTGTCTTTCTATGTGTTCCCACCTTATATTCTTGTAGGCACTGCCTAGCAAACCCTTCTGCAAAGCAGGTCAGGACTCTGTCATTGAGCTATACTACCAGCAAACCATCCTAAGTCCTTGCGGATCTGTATCCAAATGTACCATAGAGCACACATGAATATAATAACGCTTAGCTGAACCCACAAAAACTCTCTGGAGCTGACTGATTCTCTGCTTTGCGGCTTTATCTGACACCACAGAGATTGTCTGACTATAAATGGCCATAACCCAGAAGCAAAGAGAAGGGAAGCTTCCAACAGTGAGGGTGGGAGTTAAAGCCACAGCAGTGACCACTTCATCAACAAGCTTGGTAATGGGCCTGTCTCCATTCTGTCTTTTCCCCACTTCTTCCTCTGTTTCCCTAGAATTACCCGGCTGTACCCGAGTTCTTCCTTCAGCATTTATTTTAGGGGCATCCAAACTAAGTCTACTATCTCAATTCTGCCTTTTAATTTCCTATAATTGATTTCTATGAATAAAGCTCCAGATTAAAGGAAAATAACAATTATAGGACCCTTTGGATGAAGATTCTCTTGTCAAGCATATCTGCCCGGGATGGACAGCACTGTCACTGCTGTACAACTTACCATGAATCACTCTGGCTTCCTCTTAGCTGCCTGAAGAAAATCATAGGAGCTGAGCAGAAGATGTCACAGGGGCGGAGGGATGAGAGGGGACTGTGGGGAACACAGCATCCCTGAGAGAGCCTGATTGAGCCTGGCAGTGGGTATTCTCTAATGCCAATCAGGCCTCAGTGCCTCAGCTCAATGATCTCTACAAGGTCTCCCCTCAGGGGCCCAGCTGACAGTTCATCAGCACCCACAAGTCACATGCTGGGCACGAAAATCACTAATGGTCAGGTTTTTTTTTTTAATCCACACTGCCTAGGTAATAAGCCTGAAATGAGAGCAGCCGAGAACTCTGGTTATTTATCATAAAAGGGGGCTTATTGTCATAAGGACAGGCTCAAAGGCCCATTATGGTGTCAACAGATGTGTCAAGGAGAAAATGTCTTTGGACATGCAACTGACAGGGAAGGCGGGAAGGAGGCTAACAAGTGATAAGGACTGGCAGGCAACGGTCACTTGTCACCACACTTACTTGCTCGGCCTCCTCCTGGGTCACAGACAAGCTGGAACACGTAACATCGAGCAGTTTTTTTGAGTCAAGGGCTGAACTGGAAAAGCTTTCTTGGCACAGTTGTCTGACGACATCTTTTGAGGAGGCCTAGGAGTTAATTAACAGATGGAAAGCATACCAAGTTAGGCTCTGCAAACATTTGTGTTGGTTATTTCATAATGTGTCTTAACATTAAAGGTTCATAGGACGCTTCTGTCTCTGAGGAGTTGGACTGGATGAACCTTCCCTTAGTCTTCTTGCTGAGAATTAATACCCCTGGGCATTCTGGGAAAACAAACCTAACCCTGAATGAAGTAGAAGGCAGACCTGCCAGGATGAGGCTCAGTGAACGATACAGTTCTTGTTTCCCTTTGCCTCACTGATCCCAGACCCTGACCTCAAGGTACAGCCTCCTAAGACAGAAAATGTTTAGAGAGGAACTGCTCTACTTCAGGCCCCAACAACGGTCACATAGTGAACTGTGAACACACATCACTGGGACTGCCAATGGCTGAGAGGAAGCCTTGCCCTGAGCAGTAAACCCCACCCCAAGGAATCACAACATCTGTTAGGGTAAATTTTGATGGATAATCTTAGTTGTCAACTTGACTGTATCTGGAATGAAGTATAATCCAGAAATGGATTGTAGTTGTGATCACTTGTGATCCAGACCTTGAGGCAGGATGACACATGCCTTTAATCCAGACCTTGAGGAAGGAAGGTACACCTTTAAACTGTGCCACACCTTCTGCTGGAAGACTATATAAGGACAATGGAAGAAGGAAGGGGTTGTTCATTCTTCACCCTCTTGCCCTCGCCTTGTCAGCTATCCATTCCTTCACTGGAGCCTGTTTCTTTAGGATTCCAGCATGTACAGAAGACCAGCTGAGACACTAGCCTTGTGGGACTGAGCAATTACTAGATTGTTGGACTTTCCATTCACAGCTAGCCATTGCTGGACTGCAGCCTGTAAGGCATTCCAATAAATCCATATGTATGTATGTATGTATGTATGTATGTATGTATGTATACATGCACATATATACATATATATGTATACATATATATACATATATATGCATATATATATATATAGAGAGAGAGAGAGGGAGGAGGGAGAGATAGTCATTCTATACATTCTGTGACTCTAGAGAACCCTGACTAATACAGGGAAGATAAGAGAGCTGGGGTCTTCATTCTCATTGGCCTATAAGAAGCCACAAAACCCTGTGGGGACTTCCATGTCCATGTAGGATTAATGAGGTAGTGTCATGGTTTCTCTTGCTGTGATAAGATACTGACCAAAACCAGCACGGGGAGGGAAGGGTTAATTTGGCTTACAGGGTACAGCCCACAATCAGGGGGAAGCAGAGGCAGGAAGCTGGAGGAATAAACTGAAGCAAAGGCCTTGGAAAAGCAACGCTGGCTGACCAGTTTGTTCCTCGTGGCCTGCTCAGCCTGCTTTCTCAAGACCACCTGCCCAGGGCGGGCACCACCCTCAGTGGGCTGGGCTCCCCCACATCAATCATCAATCAAGAAAATGCCCCCATGGTCTTGCCTATAGGCCAATCTGAAGAGGCATTTCTCAATTGGAACTCCCTCTTTCTAGATGACTATATCTAGTTTGTACTTGTGTCAAATTGACAAATATGCCCCTTCTCTCTGTCTTGGCAGTGTTGGGAAAAGCCAGCTAAAACAAGATTTAAATACTAGTCACAGTCTCAGAACATAACGGAACAAGTCTATGTTCTAATTAAAAAATCACCTGTGTGACCAGAAACCAGGAAGGTTTCGAGATGAATGAAAAGGGGGAGTGAACAGATGCCATAGGAGGCTGAGGAAATGACTGCAAGTTGCAGGTCAACTTGGGCTACATAATGGGACCATCTCAAGAGACATTATTTAAACTATCTGACCAAGATTTTGAAGCAGCTATGATTGCAATATTCCAATAATCAAAAACATGCCTGAAACAAATAAAAAGACTGGCAACCCCTCCCAAAGGCAATAATAATATAATAATGCCCAAAGGCAATTGATGATTGATATGGGAGAAACAAAGCGAAAAACACCAGAGACACAAACACTGAGAGGACAAACACATCCCAGCAACATGGAAGAGACAGGGAAGAACTGGTAGGTGGAAGACAGTCCTTTATATGAAATTACCCAAGCCCGAACAGAAGGATGGACAGGCAGATGACAGATGATAGATAGATATAGATATGTCACATTTAGGAAATAATAGAACATATTAAATTCCTTTCCAAGTTTAATCAGACTTAATGGTAAACATTCAAGAACCCAAGTAAACCCCAAAGAGCATAATTTTAAAACCTCATACCAAGACACATCTGAAATTAAACTTGAAAAAAAAAGAAACACATACACAAAAAATTGTAAGCAGTGTGATAAACCCTCAGAATGGCAACAGGTTTCATTTCAAAACTGAGAGAAGCAAGAGAAGATATTTCTCAGACATTGAATGAACTGTCAATCTAGAACCCTCAGCTAGAAAAATGTCCTTAAGAATAAAAATAAAAAAAAAAACCAAGAAAACAAAAACAAGATAATCTGTCAGAAGATATGCCATGAAGACTGGCTATGGCAAATTCTTCAACAGAGAAGGAATACAAGGGTGTGGGGAGACACTATGACCTTACTGAAACTATCCATACCACCCCTCAGTAACCCTGGCCTCTTTCCCTGCATCCTAGAGATACACAGAAACATCAGATGGGTGTGTGAGCTTTGCAAGCTGATCCTGGCACCAACAGCATCAACAATGTGCCCAACACTTTTCTTTAATCTTCTGCCACCTTCTGACCATGGCAGTCAGTGCTTTTATAGATTTTCTTAGACCACCAAGACAGAAAAGAACAAGCAGAGATGGGGAAAAAGTTATATTTTCTAAGTTACATGTCAAGGCTAAGCAAAAATTATAACAGTGTTTGGTGAAGCTTCAAATGCAATGAAGAAGAAATATTCAATACAAATGTGTAATAACTGGACATTATCCTAGCTGATAAAATGATGACTCCACAGAGTGTGGCGAATTCTATACACACAGTATGACTAGAAAGGCTCTATTAAAAAGTGCAGTTTAGAACCCCAGATAATGTAGAATTCTGTGTGTAAATGTACATGGATGCCTCTCTCTCTCTCTCTCTCTCTCTCTCTGTGTGTGTGTGTGTGTGTGTGTGTGTGTGTGTGTGTGTACCAGAGTGTCCTGCTTCATCGCTCTCCTCCTATTCCCTTGAGACAAAGTCTCTCACTGAACTTGTAGCTAGGCCAGCAGCCTTGTTCCTGATCTTTACAGTGTTGGCATTACAGGTAACTGTGTGGCCAAGTACAGTTTGTTTTTTTTTTTTAAGTGAGTGCTGGGCATTCAAACTCTCATTCTCACGCTTGCACCGCAAGCACTCTTACTCATTTAGCCATCTTCCTAGCCCCTAAAGTAGAATTCCTTTAAAAATGTTCAAATAACCCATGGGAAAGTGGAGAAATGTAAGAAAGAAAAATAAAATAAAGAATGAGCACAAAAAAAAAAAAAAAGAGCCAAGTCCTAGCATGGCAACATTTGTATTAACTCTAAGTGACCTAAATATTCTAATTGAAATAGAAAAATGGGCAGAGTGGGTGAAACATATTAAATGCTATATACAAGGACCTCCCTTCAATTATATGGGCGGCTAAAAGGGAATGGATGATTAAAGAATGTCATTCAAACATCAATCAACAGAATGCAAGAATGGCTACACTGACAACAGATAAATCATACTTTACAAAAAGGAAACTATCAGGACAGTATTATAATTTTGCGCACTAAGAAGACATCCAGAATGTGTACACAACCAACAAGAGGACTGCAAACTGCAAACCAATAACTGACAGATATATATAGGAAAACAAGCGACTCCCCAAATGCAATGGGCACACAACACCCCTCCTTCAGCAACTGATAGAACCAGCCAGATGTGAAACAGGATACAGAAGAATTAAGCAACACCATCCATCACTCTAATTGACATCCGTGGAACACTCCACCAGTGAAAGGACAGGGGAAGCAGGTAAAACAAAGAGCTGGCAAGAATGACAAGCCAGATATTAAAAGGATGAGGGAAGCCTATACACAAACCTGATGGCTTCCACAAATGGACCAATTACTCAAAAACCATCCCGACGCCCCTCATATGAAATAGATAGGCAATAGCTGTCACTACTCAGGAAATTGAATCCACAGTGTTAACTCAGAAAAGAAATCTCTAGACTTCGACATTTTCACTGGTAATTCTAACAAACATTTTAAGATTAAAAATATCAACTCTATAAATCTCTTTTAGAAAATAGAGGGGACAATTTCCAATGCATATTAAGGTAAAATTACCTTAATATCCAAACCAGATAGACACTTCAAAAAGGGAAAAGAAAAAGAAAGGAATAAAGAAAATTGCAGGTCCACATCCCCTCATAAACTGACACAAATTCTTAGTAAAGTATTAACAGATAGAAATCAGTAATATATAAGCAACATATAAGAGGATTATATACTATGGGTAGATGAGATATATAAAAAGCCAAGAATATAAATCTGGCTAAGTATTTGAAAATCTATGTAACTCACAATTTTTACAGGACAAAGAGAGGGAAAACCACACAATCTCAAATGAACAGAGAAAAATATTTGATAAAATTCAACATTATTATTATTATTATTATTATTATTATTATTATTATTATTTACTTAAACAAAGAAAGAAACCCATCTCAACTTAGGAGATTGTTTGGCAGGTGAAGAAAGGCATGATTTGAGGACCTGTGGTTGATTCCTAGAACCTACATGGTGGAAGGAAAGAACCAACTACTGCAAGCTGCTGTGGAATAATCCCTCTGTAATGTATGTATGAATGTATGAATGAATGTATGTATGTATATGTACGTGTGTGTGTGTACGTGTGTGTGTGTGTGTATGTACATTATCTCATTGGTTGATAAAGAGCTAACTAGCAGGAAGTATATGTGGGACAGCCAAACTGAGAATGCTGGGAGGAAGAGGGGTGGAGTCAATGGAGTCACCAGGAGACACAGAGGGAGCACGGCATGCTGGA